GCGTGGGGGGACACCCCCCCACACACACACCACCACCACCACCACCACCCCATCCCGGGAGGTGCAAGCCCATGGCTCAACACAGGCTTTCCCCGAGACCTGCAGCTCCGCTCCGGCAGCATCGCTCCCAGCTTCTCTTCCCCCTCCACTGAGGTGGGAGTGAGCAGTGGTTTCGGTCTGGCACCCGCGCCTCCGGGGATGGTCCTTGCCATTTAAAAAAGGACCGTGTCACCGTCCTGCAGCGAGGACACTGTCAGGCCAGGTCCTTTGAACCCTGCGAGTCTCAAGCAGCTGGGTTACTTCAAGGGAGAGCTCTTGGATCTCATCAGATTTTACAAATGGCCGTTGGCCGTGGAGGCTACGTAGAGACCGAAGGGGTTCTGCAGAATTTAGGTAATCCCGATGCAAACTACAGCGTATAAAACAGACCGAGGAGAGGCTGCAGTACGTCGCCCCTAGCCTTACCCAAAGATGATGAAGGAAAGGCCCCAGGCACTGGGGGACTGGGGGAGACACCAAATGTAGTCATTACAACAGGGAGTGGGGGGTGGGGGGAGGCGTACACATCTCTCCCACATGCACGCATATCTATACGTATGCTATATGTACCTATATTCAGGTAAGTGAGCGGTATAGCTACATGTGCGGATACACGTCACACACCCATCAGCAGTGCAGGGACATGGGGCGTTGTGCAGGGGGGTGGCACAGGTTAAGGAGACATCTGCTCTCCAGCAGGACAGCAAGCGGAGAGGAAGGTGTTCCCCGGGCACTTGTGAGGACCCTCTGCAGTGGCAGCCCTGGACATGCAGAGGACACTGAACTAGCAACAGGGTGGAGAGCCCACCCTGGTGGGTGACGTGTCATCCTGTTTTGGAAAGTGCTCTTTTTGCACTGGGAGAACATAGTCACAGAATAATTTAGGTTGGAAGGGACACATGGATGTCAGGAATCCACTGCCTCCAAAAAAATGCTGCGGCCTAGCAGGTGTCTGTGGTCCATGTGTGCACCAGTGAAGTAGGAAAGGGCAAGGGAGAGGTTTTGGAAGCAAGATGCAGGGTGCCAGGTAAAATCAAGCATCTCCTCCAAAACTTCTCCAGGAACACTCGCAGCAGGATGGAGAGGTTCACACTGATGTGGAGGGACACTGGTCTCCAAGGAGCAGCAATGAAGGGTCCGTATTCACATGGCAGATCCTCCCAGATACTTCCAGAAGAGAGGAGACCAGAGAGACTGATTTCCATGCATCCACAGTGGAATGAGGATGAGGGACCAGGGATGCTTGGCTTTGACTTGGCACGTTGACTGAATAGATGTGCGGGGAGAGGAGATGATCAGCTGGATGCAGCAGTGACGGGACACAGCTTGTGCAGGAGGGTCTGGCTAGGCTGCGGCTGGAGGGAAAGGGGCTACACACTCCATGCTGAAAGGAGTCAAATCAGTTAACTCCAGCAATGAAAGCTGATTTTTTCTAGACTTACCGTCTAACTAGGAAAACGGTGGTATTAAGATGGCATTAATGACTCTCTGACCAGGATGGAGGCGGTTACTATGCCAGGTGCAATTAGAGAGCAGTAAAGTGATTGAAAGTGAGACGTTTCTAACCAACTTGTTTCCACTCGGAACTAAGACCTTGCAGTCATTAATGACTCCATGGAAGGATCAGTTCGGCACTCAGAAACCGTCGCAAAGCTGGTGGGACATGCCAGGACGGAGCGTAATGGAGGGCAGGGTGAGGGCTGCAGCATGCCTGCCTCCAGCAGCTCTGGCCCATGTGTAACAGAAATGGCAAAGGTCCAGAGAAGAGCAACAAAGATAACTAAAAATACAGAGCGACCTCAATGCTAGAGTGATTCAAGGATTCGAGTGGCCAGGATTACTTAGGGTGGAGAAGTGACAACCAACAGAAAAAGGTCAGACAGGAGAGAATACTCAGCCATGAGTAGCAAAGAGTAGGGATGGATTATTTGCTTTCTTTTCTAATATAAGAACTAGAGAGCATCAAGTGAAACTAGCAGGTGGCAGATGTAAAGCAAGCAGGAGGAGGTGGATCTTCACGCAGCAGGTAATTAAACAGTGGGACATCCTGCTTTGAGGTGCCAGAAGTTCACAGGAGATCCAAAAAAGCACCCGTACACATTCACAGAAGAAAAAAAACCCCATGAGGCGCTATTAAATGGAAAGACACCAACTCTGCCTCAAGCAGCCCCCTCAAGCCACGAATTTCTAGGGGATAGAAGCTGTTTGGAGGATGCTCTTGCCCTAAGCCTTGAAAAAGGCCTGGCTGGGAATGCCTGGGAATGGCTCAGGACAGGGGAGGTGGAAAAAAAGAGCGGCTGGGGCTGGCTTTTGCAATGCTTGGTGGCTGCTGTCGCTTCTAGGATGTGCTTTTAATTTGCTTACAGAACGAGCCAGCTGTGAAAAAGGCTGTAGTTCAGGTATCAGCAGATATTGTGGGGAAAAAATGCTTGCCGTCATATTAATAATTTAATGTCACACTCGGACGACTGCTTATTCATGAAGAGGGAATGCCGTGAATGACGTTAATTGGTTTTGGTCAAATAAAACACACTTGGCTTCCTTGAGAAACATGAGCCAAACCATGGAGCAGAGTTTGCAGCTCACTCTTGCCATTTCTTCCCACCGCCTTCAGCTGATCTCAATGGGGCGTGTTCAAGGCGTTAACAACAGCATTTCCCTCCACCTCTTCTAGCATCACGAGCTCACAGGATACACCAGAAGTTAATTCTTCTGCTGTGATTCTTTTTTTTTTTTTTTTTGATGTTGAAAGGTAATGGGAGTGGACAGCTTTTGTCTTCTAAACTTAACTTTCAGTGGTGACTCATTCTTTTCAAAAAGAGACTTCTACTTCTTGTGACTTTGCTGTTTCAGTAAGACCTGGCGGCTTTAAAATCAGAAAATTTAACCCAGCAGCATCAAATATCCACAGCTTTTTTCTCTGCAGAACTGCCAAATTTTGCAACTTTTTTTCATCACCTTCCTTAGGGATCCAGCTACTGGAATCAGTTGTTTCCATTAGCATCCTGCCTTTCCTTCACAAAAGATTCTCTATTCTGGCCTGGCCTTCATTTCTGTGAGGAAAAAACTTTAAAATGGGAATCCTTCAAGTTCCAGAAGGTAAATAAGCCATCCAGCTTATTTTTAGAGTTTAATCATGTTTTTGAAAAGTTTAATAATATTTATGAAATTTTCTCTTTTTTGTTGTTGTGGAGCTTCACACTGCCTTTAAGTGGAGCTGACTACACCATCATTTTGGTTCTTAAA